AGGAAGGGCACTGTGGTACTTGAAAGCAAGGCTACGTCCTTCCCAACCACGCAGTTGGCCTCCTAAAAGACTGCGTTCACAACAATCCTCGCCTTACATTTTTCCTGGACCATTGGGGCTGCAGCATCGCCCCAAAGCAGATGGATGCGTGCATCCAATTAAGATTTTCTGGCAATCTGCAGCGTGAAAACATTTCAGATGAGCTGGCTTGCTCTCTGCTAATTAAGTAAACGATTGTCGTTGTTCTTTGAAACTGAAAATTGGACAGATACGAAACGCGGATGGCAATATTGTTCCAAGTCTTTATCTGATCTGAACAACAAGCTAATTTCTCCAATTCAGGTTGGCACTTCTGCTATCAATGCAACTCACAAGACCTAAAATCTGTTCCTAACTCCTAAGCAAACACAGGAGCTCATATCATTTCAAACATGGAAAAAAAATGGATTAACTGACATTTGTGCATAAAACTGATCTGTCCAGTCCTTGATTTTCTAGGTACAGATCATTCATTATCCGTCAATTCAACCCAGATCGGTTTCAGACTCTCTGCATTGTAATTAGCCTCTTGGATTGTTTTTTAATCACATGTAGGTCCACATATGATGGATTAAAATATGCACTGACTCACCCAGATCCAAGCCAATTGAGAGGAGCAGCTTGTGTAAAGTTCGACTCAGTAATTAGAAATCATAAATATAATATTTGTATTTCTATCGGCAGTATTTATCTTGGGTTAACTCAAAGCACTTCCAAAATACGAAATAATCAACCTCACAACAAGCCTGAGCGTACCATGATTGTCTTCATTTTTAAGAAAGGAAACTGAGGCACCAAGAGGTTGAACAAATTCCTCCAATGAGGCCGTATAGGACGTGGTGCTTGAGTTGTAAAAACTAGAGTATGTTCCATTTCTGCTTGTACTCTTTATGCTGACCTGTAAGGATCATATCTACCTAGAAGCTGCTGAAAGACCTACGTTCCTTTCATATGTTTTCCTGGTGTCTTTTTAGTCCTCTTTTCTTTGAGTGTGCCGAGTATCCAGACTGTGCAGGGAGAGACATGGAGGGAGTGTCATTCTGCAGTGCTGATTCTGGCCTCAGGACACCGCTCTTGGAGCATGTAGGGACCACTGAGGAGCCCACAGAATCTGGGGGAAATGTCAGTGCTGGAGCACTTCGGGCTGATACAAGTAGCCCTCCACTTCATCCCTTCACAAGTCCCAAGACAGGGCACAGGGGTTGGTAGTGCTACAATGCAAGGGCTTGGGGCTAGGGCATAGCCAGGAGGAAGCTGCCTGTCTTGCACCACAGACTGTTTTGGCTACCCAAGTGGTCCAGATATCCACCCTAATAGAAGCCTTCAGGGCTTGATCACTCCAGCTGTGACTGAGGAAGTGGGAAGAGGTGCCTAAGACAGACCAAAGAAACCTAGTCAGATCCAGCATGCTGCTGCTAGCTCCTTCCTGCAAGCCCTGCCGTGAAATGGAGCTGTAGTCAGTCCAGGACAGGTTTTGGATTCCACTGCACTTTCCAGCTAGGAGAGAGACAGGATGTGTGGGGGGTTCCTGAGGCTTATGCATCTTCCTGGGCATTTCTTCCAGTAGTCTCAAGCCACATACACATGCAACCCAAAGTAACCAGAAAACAATCTTATGTTCCATCATCTGTCTGGATTCAATGTCTGCAGGCCAAAACCAGAGACACGCCCCATCCCCACAGCTTAGAGAAATCAAACCTTGGCTCTATCTCCAGGTTTCTCGGTCACAGCAGAGGCTGTGGAGCTTCACAGACAGCACAAGGATGCTGCTTCCTTTCTGTCCCAAGGAGAGGTGCTGCCACAGGCAAATGGGAAGTGTGCTAAGGAGATGAGGTGGGACCCCACAAAACCTCCAGCTAGTGCTTCCCATATGCAGCCCCACAGGTACATCCCATGTCTCAGGACAGTTGTGATGGATGGCAGTGAAGGGATTTGAACAAGGTTTCCTAATGGCATTACAACCCTATCAATGATGTATTCACTCCTCAGCTTCTTATCCAGGTGAAACTTCCATAGAGCTAAACTTCAGGATGGGACTTAGTATGATTATTTAGAAAGAGTTATAGTGATGGCAGCTTCCAGAGGCCGGAAACAGAAGAGACCTGGCCTGAACTTTTTTTTACCCAAAGCCCTATAAATGTGCAGACTTAGCCTTCCTTGGGCCTGACAAATGCTGCTGAACGTTTGACTGCCTTGTGAGTTTGCAAGGGGAACTCAAGCATGGAAACCAGCAAATCAGAGTGGAAAGAAACCTGAGCAATAGAAATCACGCTTGACTGACAAAGAGAGATCACCTTATATGGGAACATCCCTGGGCAAGAAGATGAATGCTGCTGGACTGGTTCCTGAGGTCAGATCCCAAACAGATGGAAGAAGTTAATGTGAAAATGAGTGTGTTTAGGAAGAGAAGGTGACACTTTGAAGAGCATCTCTGCTTGCAGTATGGGATCCAAGTCCTGTTGTTCTTCCTTTTTATTAGGAATAAGGGGATATGTGCGCTTAGAGCTGACCGAGTTATATTAAAATCCATTTGTGTGGGGCCATTCTGGCACTCAGATGCATCACAGATCTCACTTTGGCTTGTCCCAATTAGAACTGTTATCATTATGGTTTCCTCCAAATTTCTTTAAATGGTATTAATTTTCTCCACATCAAATAAGCCATAGCTCTAAAGACCTCAATCAGCAGTGGGCCACAGATGAAGTACACTGAAGCCAATGAGAACTGTGCTTACTTACCCTCAGACAGCAGTTTGTCCCTTTGTACAAGAGGATTATAAATCAGCTCTCAAGGAACACTGCCAATTTATTAAACACATTTATTTCTGCAATTCTTGTGCTGACCACTGTCACAGATAGCACAGTGGATGATTATAAGCCAAAAGAGATTAGAGAAGAAAATATTTTTCCCTGCTTGGTTGAGTTTGTTTGCTTTGTGCATGTGTAGCTTTGGCAGTGTGTGGTTTTATTTTGGGTTTGTATGTAGATGTGTGAGGATCTTTTGCAATGTAACAGGAGACAGAGAGAAATTTCCTCTCTGCCCTGAATCTGAAGGTATCTGACTTGGCGTAACTCACCTGACCTGCCCTGGATCTTGGTCAGCCATTTTACACCTGTGTAGAGCAGGCAAAAAATACTGATACCCAGTCTGCTTGCATTTTATACAAACTTGGAGAGGTTCAAGGTGGAGGTCAACTGGGAATCAGGCCTCAGCGGGTCCAGGAAGAGGTGAATGCTACACCACCATAATCCTCTTAAACTCATCTTTGTTTCAAGGTAATTTACATCATCACAGACCCTCACCGGAGGTGAGGCTTCATACCAACTATGAACTGACTGCCCTGAGGAGTTTTTCATCTGTTGACTCCTCTGTGAAATCCTCTGAAATATGAACTTTAATTTCTACCCAGGAGAATTTTTACAATCTTTTCTCCAATGTCTGATGAAGGCTGCTTGTGCCTGAAAGCTTGCAATTAAAGATTTTTTTTGCAAAAAAACATGTTGGCCTAATAAAAGATATCATGTCTACTACGAGTCCTGATAGCCTTCTTCTCTAGACCATTATAGCTACAACCTGGATACTAGACTCATCTCTGCATTTAATTCAACATGTCAAACTGTGTGTCCTGCTAGCCTTTGTAGGTCCTTAAGAGCAATGCACACTGACTCCAGTGGATTGGGCCTCTGCACACTGAGGCCCTGGGATGCCATCCTTTGGCCACATGTGGCTTGTCTGATGATATAGGACTGCCCTCTCCTGGAGAACAAATGTCACTATGAATAGCACTGGGCTCAGCATCTGATGGCCCTGCAAATGCTCAGGTATTTTTCTGGCTAGTAGCAAACTCAGGCAGTGGCAAAACTCACTCTGCTATGAGGGAGCTCATTCTTTTCCTTTCTCTTCTCTTCCCTCATGCACCTTTCTGTCAGTGGGATCACACAGAAGCAGAGCAATTGAAGTGTGGTGGCATGTGGAGGTGGCACGACTGAGTGGAGATGGTGACGTAGGTCCCATGGCAGTTCAATGCAAACTGTTCTGTTGGTTGGAAGATGAAATGGGTAAATAATGCATCTCTCTGTCTCCCTTGCCTGTTCTCCCTGGCCCTGGGGGGCAGAAAAGTGAGATGTTGTGGAAATTAAACCCTGCTCCTGCACTCCCCAATGGCCGCTAGAAAACTCATGTTGATTTTGTGCTGCAGAATCAGGTCCTTTGGTCACATTCAAAGCTGATGCAGTGTGACAAGGTGAGATGCTAAGTTGTATCATCTCTCTTTGAAATTAGGAACAAGCTGCAAGCAATCATCAGTCCTCCGCAGCACTTGACAAAGCATGAGCTTTCAGCCCATGTTCAACACCTTCCGATTAGATCAGTAAGAGTCAAGTTGTCCAAGGGACATTGAGAAGGATACAAGTCTGTTTACTGCTGATAACTTAGCAGGATGTCAAATCTTGGATTTTCCTTCATCAGGACAATGATATGAATAGCCAGGCTGTTTGGAGGACATGCTAAAAGTATTAATGCATCTGACATTTAGATTTTTCATTTCTATAAAACATCTGAATAGTCTAAATTTGTGATGTCCCATCAAAAGGAATGCCAGAAATGTTGCTCCTCTGAAAACTGTCTTTGTGTGAGAGTGGGTGGGTGGCTGTGGAACACTTGTATTTTTGTCAAATTTGGGTCAGATTCACCTCTAGTCTAATTTAATCGGCTTTGCTAAAGATGCAAGAGAAATGAACGTGGCCTTTTGTCTTTGGTCTGTACATAAGTAAAGCATCTGGCATGCTAACCTCACCTTCCCTTTTTATGTATTTATTTACTTATTTCTTTTTGATTAATTAGCGACAAAACAATGATTTCCTTCTTAAAAGAACGTGTCACATTTATACTAGTTTCCATGCTAATGTAAGTGGTTTTCTTACTGTGCCTTTAAGGGGTGTGTCCTATGAAAGTGGGATGGAAAGGGTGGGAAAAAAGCAGAATCAAGTGGCTCTTGAGAGCACAGACTACTGAGGAAGTTGTAACAATGACTGCGTTCTGTAGCCTGAATGATCTGTGTGAATATGAAACGTCTAAAGTGGTCCGTTTTCAGAGTGGCTACCTTGGAAGTATGAAATGGATCATCCATATAATAGTTTTATTATATGTTTGGTAAGTTAAGAACAGTGACATGTTGCATTGTACATGAGCAAGCATGTTTATTATGTGGGTGGCTGTCTGATCGGTTATAACTCGGCTCAGCAAGTACCTGGAGATCTTGAGCTCTGTGCTACAGAAACAACAGAAATCAATTTTACAGCTTTTCTTTAAAGGGTGAAATAAAGTGTTGCACAACAGCCATTCAGACAGTGACAAGTGTCTGGATATCACAGGAAATTATCTGCACAGTACAGATTTTACTGTAAATTTCCTAGTAAGAAAGCGTTTGAATGTGGTATCAGTTTCCTGTGTTGATGGCTGCCTTCAGTGATCGCGTTTCCTGACAAAGTCTTCAGATGTTCATAAACGAGATTTAATTCTTACATAAGGGGGACAAGCTAACACATGGAAAACTAATTGCAATCTTACTGCAAGTCAGGAAGTTTTGTTGTCCAATTAAGACACCATTTCTGTCTAGTTGTTTAGAGCTGTGTTTTCACAGCCAGACAGCACCTTAAATCACTCCTCTCAAAGGCATGGCATAAAAATGCCTTGTAGGAACTATTCTAAAATAAACACAGGGTTTTTACAGTTGCTTGCACTTAAGTATTTTAGATATTATTTTTCACTCCCAGGTTGGTTATTTTTTAACTGAAATGATGACGACGCTGACGACGCTATCATCTAAAATAGAAAACCGTTTTTTGAAAGCAACTTTTTGTACACGATATTACATGCACAGTAGCTGTTACAAGTCTCAGTACTTTTATAAGTTTGGTACATCATGAGCTGCAGAAGCAATGCATGCTAATAGCTTTTAATTGGTCCCCATCAACTTTAAAAAGTATTGTTTCACTGGGGAAAAATAAGTGTGTAATAACATTTCTATTTATAAAAGCTTTTCACATATAAATACTGGCCTGGATTTAATGTATGATGTCCCTTTAATAATAACAGTAACATATGGGAACACTGGGTTTGCCTTTACAAAGAACCCTTTGAAAATGACATTTTAACCAATGAAGATGACTGTGGTCTATAGAGGCTTGTGAGCTACAATAGTTATTGCTTTTCATGAGGCTCTGATCACATGCACTTTGCCAAAGGGGGTTGCAGAGGCAGCCTATTTCTCCATCTTATAACAAATTTACCAGTTACCTAGGAGCTTCTTAACTAAACCGCCTGAGACAGGGATCACTGGAGTTGGCCACTTTGAAGGATGAAAAGGTTGAATAATAACAGATTTCTTCCAAAACAGAACATGCTGGGACCTCAGTTAGAGCATAACCCATTTAAAACAGAGGCTGCAGGGTTTAAATTCATATTGACACCTCTACGTTGAAGAGAGTCAGCTCTTGAAGGGTGAAGTCAAGCACCACAGCAATTGGGTGTGGCGGGGCAGGGGGGGAGATTTAATTTGACTAGCACATGACTAGATGATGTTTAAGATAGGAAATAATAAAGAAGGACCAGATTTAGTAGTCACCTATGTCAAAGTAATTCTATAAAAGCCAAGGAGATTGCGTTGTGTAAGCAAGGGAAGATTTTGGCCTGACAAATCATGATGATACAGTCTCCAGTTACTTTCAAAGGTTCAGTTGTATTTTAACTTCTATTGTGTATTTACTAACTGTGGCAGTCTGCCATTTAATTGTCATGGAGTCATTTGTCCTTTCTGTTTTGTCTGGTTAGTTTTGCACTTGTGACTAATCGACTCTATCAGGGAAAGGAGTCTGTGATCAGCTCGGTTCATACCAAAGTGAAAGGAGTGTCCCAGGCTGGCTCCAGAATCTGGGACACGGCAGAGTATACCGTTCCCATGCAGGTAAGTCTCCCCTTAAAGTCAGCACAATGGGTGGCAGGTGCAGTTGCTTTAGTGCTACGTGTCTTTAAAGACCACAAGAAATGTTAATGTTAAAAGAAATCATTCTCTTTTACAGGTTAAGAAACCTTCTGTTTCTGTCATGATCAATTTATGATTATAACAGCAGCAGCTCTAGGAACAAATTAATTCCAAGTATAACTCTACTGAGTTTAATAGAGTTACTCCTGGTTTACATAGGGATATCTGGGGGGGGGCGGGAAATCCAGTTCCTCCAATGTGGTACACGCTTGTGTTCAATGGAGTGACTTCCTTTTTACATCAGCATGAGTGAGATCTGAACCAGCCCCATTGTCTTTACAGGAGTCACTCTGGGTTAACACAGGAGTGGCCACAATCAGAATTCGGTATACGATATTTAATTTAAAATATTTGTCCCCTCCTGTCTCTCTGCATAGGGAAGAGACACTTTCTTCGTGATAACCAACATCATTACCACAGAAAAACAGACTCAGCGCGTTTGTCCAGAGGTAACTGCATTTTATACGTGACTCATCACCTGCATAACGTAGTTTTCTTTGGCATGAGTATTCATAGCAGTTTTCCACAAGCAAACGTTGCTTTGCCTTCCCTTGCTACATTATCTTACTGGATAACATGCCACAACTAGTTTAATTACTCTTCTTTTTTATTCCTCCACCCTGTGTTTCCCAGTTAATCAGCCAGCAATTAGTTTTGTGCATGACACCAAAGACCCTGCAGCCAAAACTGTGCTAGTGCCTCACTAAGGCTAATGTTCCCAGCTGGCTTCACTGCAGGTGGAGACTATAATGCAGAGGGGCAGGAGAGTTAAACAAGTCACTGTTTCTCTGTAGCAATCTGCTGTTATTCTAAATGTTTTGTTTCCTAGTTTCTAGGGTCAGAAGAGACCTGAGCAGATCATCAAATCCGACCCCCTGCCATGGCAGGAAAGCGTACTGGGGTCAGACGACCCCAGCAAGGTGTTCATCTAACCTCCTCTTAAAGACCCCCAGGGTAGAAGCCTGCACCACTTCCCTTGGAAGTTGGTTCCAGACCCTAGCCGCCCTGATTGTGAAGCTGCGCCTCCTGATATCTAGTCTGAATCTCCCCTCTGCCAGCATATGACTGTTATTCCTGGTCACTCCTGGTCGTGCTCAGGGGAACAGGGACTCCCCCAATGCCTGCTGGTCCGCTCTGACTAGTTTGCAACAGGCCACTAGATCCCCCCTCGGCCTTCTCTTGTGGAGGCTGAACAGGTTCAGGTCCTGTCGCCTCTCCTCGTAGGGCCTGCCCTGCTGCCCCCTGACCATGCGGGTGACCTCCTCTGGACCCTGTCCATGTTGTCCACATCCCTCCTGAAGTGCGGTGCCCAGAACTGGACGCAGTACTCCAGCTGCGGCCTGACCAGTGCCGTATAGAGGGGGAGGATCACCTCCTTGGACCTGCTCGAGATGCACCTGTGGATGCATGACAAGGTGCGGTTGGCCTTCCTGACTGCGTCCCCACACTGCCAACCCATGTTCATCTTGGAGTCAATGATGACTCCAAGATCCTTTTCTGCCTCTGCCCTGACGAGAAGGGAGTTCCCAGCCTGTAGGTATGGTGCTGGCTCTTCCTCCCCAGGTGCAGCACCTTGCACTTGTCGGTGTTGAATCCCTTCCTATTCTCATC